TAATCCGCGTCTTCGCGGATAAATTAAAACTCCAGTTGTTTAAGTTACAAACTTTGAGAAAAGAACCGTCTTTATTTTCAATCTTAGCCTATTTATACATTTATTATGTTTACTTAATAATTAATTTCACCATAAGGCGTTGGCATTGCATCACGCTATGATGAAATGCCAATGTCTTGGACAAAGAAGTTATTTGACGCCTTTGAATGGAATTTTCCATTCGGAGCGGAAAAAAATATATCAAATTTCAATTCTGAACAAAGAAGTTAAATGAGTCGCAATTATGCAGCTGCATAATTGCTGAGTATGCAAAATTGTACTATGAATCTGTAAGATACAAATTATGCTTTTTCCTATAAGCAATATTGTTTATATTAATCATTGTGCCGCTATGTGTGATCTGCCGTTAACTCCCCCCTCTCTAAGATGAATCGTCCCCGATTCTTCATTATTTTCTGTTAATTTGATTATTATTTGATTTAATATAACTTTATATGTATTTTCTTAAATTTCTACATTTTCATTTTGATTGGCAGTTTTATGCGGTTTTTTGAATTTAATGTGAATGTAAACTACCAAAATTATGCATAAAATTATGACAATATATAAAATAGATAAATGAGTTTTGACATTTTTATCTTCTTTGCCTATTATATTTATATTTTCCAATTTGAGTTGTTTATTGGTTGTTTCTATATATTCCAAAATTTCAAAGTTATTTACATAATCATTTTTTAAAAAATTCCAAATCTTTCTACCAAGGTACATTGAACAGGTAGTATCAGTAGAGCAGCTGATTTGATTTATTTTCAAATTATTTGGTCTCGAAAATGTCAAATATTTTTAATTTTTTCTCACAAAAATTCTGAATTGTTAAAATCCATTTGCATGTGAAACCTTTTTCCATACAAAACAAGCGATTGAATAGCAGCTTTTGGAACGTTCGCCCAACTCGGCAGCACGACCGCTGATTACTGGGCCGTGCAAAGGATGGATCAATGCTTCGAGAAGCAAACAAATTTACTAGGAAAGAAAGTTGCATCAATTTTTATTTTTTCCAATTTCAATTTTTTATTTTTTATAATTTTTTGTATTTCACATGGCACGCTTTGATTTAGAAGAAAAAATTCAGAACAGTTTTTGACACTTTCGATACCAGAAGCAACCACAAAATACACGCAAATGTTGTTTTTGCTCTACTGATACTACCTGTTTAATGTGCCTTGCTTTCTACAATATTTTCTCCTGAGACAAATATTGCTCCTGGTTTTATAATCTCAATTGGAAAGTTTCTTTCTTTTATTTTTGTACATTTTCCTTGTTTTTTATTTAAAATTTCTGATAAACATGTACTTTGCTTGTGTTAACGCGCGAGGGTTAAATTATTAAATCAAAAATTGTCAATCACTTGTGCTTGCAGGGTTCTGGTGGTTGTATTTGCTAAACGTCACCTTTTCTTTTAGGTGCGCTCTTGCACGTTTTACGAACCTTCTTTTTACTTTGATCGTTGACGGAGAAGGCAGCATAACCACCCAGGGATGTTGTGATAATAGACATTCAGCCCATAATTGCTCTCTGTAAATTCACACGAGTCGTTCAATGTCACATTGGTTGTGCTGGAACTGCCTGTTTTTGAAAAAAAAAAAAAACGAAATGGTCTAATTTTAACATTGGCTGGCCAAAGCGACGCATTTCGTATTTTCTCAAAATTTGTTGATGAAACACCTAACTTGAAATTGACCCGTTTATGATTGTGATTGTCCACTGGGTTGTCTTTTTTTATCAACGGAAAGCAGTACAAAGACTTAATATCAATGCATGCATGATTTGACACATAGTTTTTTATGTCATCAGCAGCAACGGAAGACTCAAACGATGACAGATATACCCATTTCATGCGAGCAGCAACCTTCAGTTCAGTGTTATCACTTGAGCCAACAACAACCATTTATATCCGCATTTTATTCTTCACCTCTGTCCAACCAACATTGTTACTTAAGCCCAGCGTTGCCAGGTTGACGTTTTTAACGTCATTTAACCCCCGTCCCAGCAATGGGTTGTGCGCTGGGTTTGGGACCCGCCACGTATAAAAAATTCCAGTGCAGAAGCAAGGTAAAGCCTCGGATGAGACCCCCCCTTATGATGACGACCACGGCAAACTTTTAAAGACTACGATTTGAGGGCATGCACCTGGAATGTCCGGACCCTTAATGGGAAAGGTGCCTCTACCCGGCTGGTTTAAGTCCTCTTCAGGACAAAAGCTGACATCACCGCCATCCAAGAAATGCTTTGGACGGGGTAAAGCAAGCAATGTCTGGGGCCTTGCGACGTTCCAGCAATGCGTTGTGCGCTGGGTTTGGGACCCTCCACGTAAAAAACACTTCCACTGCAGAAGCAAGGTAAAGCCTAGGATGAGACCCGCTCCCCCTTATGATGACGACCGCGGCAAACGTTTAAAGACTACGATTTGAGAGCATGCACCTGGAAAGTCCGGACCCTTAATGGGGAAGGCGCCTCTACCCGGCTGGTTGATGTACTCTTCAGGACAAAAGCTGACATCACTGCCATCCAAGAAATGCGTTGGCAAGGCAAGCAATGTCTGGGGCCTTGCGACGTCTACTACAACTGTCATGTAAACGAGCGCAAATTCGGAGTTGGATTTGTCGTGGGACAGAGACTCCGTCGCCGAGTACTGCCGTTCATCCCGGTGGACGAGCGTCTAGCCACAATCCGCATCAAAGCGAGATTCTTCAACAACTCGCTCATCTGCGCCCATGCCCCGACGGAAGAGAAAGATGAGACATCCAACGATCTCGAGAAACGAAAAACGAGAAACCAAATCATGAGTAGGCAATTCAGGAGTAAATTCCTCTCTCGATGTGCGAAAACCACACTTTATAAGTCACTCATGATGCCCGTGCTGGTATATGGCGCAGAAGCATGGACAATGACAACATCCGATGAGGCGGCTCGTGGAGTATTCGAGAGAAATATTTTGCGGGAGATTTACGGGCCTTTACGCGTTGGCGACAGCGAGTACCGCAGACGATGGAACAATGTGCTGTACGAGCTTTAAAACGACTTGGACATAATGCAGCGAACTAAAATAAAGCGGCTCCGCTGGCTTGGCCATGTCGTTCGAATGGACACCGAATCTCCAGCTCTGAAAGTGTTCAATTCCGAACCCGTTGGTGGTATCAGAGAAAGAGGGAGGCCCTCATTGCGATGGAAATATCAGGTGGAGAAGGACTTGGCTTCACCTGGCGTTTCCAACTGGCGTCAGTTGGCACAGAGGAGAAACGACTGGCGTGCTTTGCTGAACTCGGCCAAAATCGCTTAGGGCAGCGCCAAATAAGACAAGGAAGAACCTATTGGTCTTTCAATACGGCACTGGCCTGGTAGCCAAAAGCTATAAAAGTGAAGGCGGATGCCACCTTGAGCATGCTGGAACGACTGCTGCGCGCGGTCATCACAGGAGCTATGGGCACCTGTACAAGGGATGCCCTTGGTTTCATTACACGCATTCCTCCTTTGCCTATTCTCTTTGAAAAGGAGGCCTGCTGGAGCGCCCTACGTATGTCCAATATGATCAGTAAGAAAATTGGAGATCTCCGGGGCATTTGGCGGTTCTAAAGTGGATAATCCCGAGTCATTCTTCTACAAACCCTAAAAGTTCAAAATTCTTAAAAGGGACTGATGTGAAGTGAAAATAACTATGATTGACGAAGGGTTCCAAGTATGGAATACCGACGACGAAAAGTCTGCCAATTTGCACATACCCAACTATATTCCAGGCGGAAGTCTTTGCAATCGAAGTCTGTGTAGAGGGCCCAATTGTTCCAAAATAAATTATATGTCAAGCAGGTTAAAGGCCTTAGACTCTTTAAAAACTGCGTCAGGCTTAAGAACAGCTGTAGAACGCTTTGGAACGCGGGTCATGAATGGTTTGAAGGCAACGAAGGCGCTGACTGTCTCGCAAAGCGTGGAGCCCAAATGGTCGTAGCCTTTTGTGAGCTGGTGGAAGAGACCTCAGAGCATATTCCGTTTGACTACCCACGTATCATAAATATTAGACTGATACACCTTGGGGAACGATTGTCTTCTCCCGCCGATATTTGAAACATGGCGCACTCCAAAGTGCTTTACTTCTTAAATAGCCTAGGGTTGGAGTGATTACAATTAGGTTTAAGCACACTAGATCTGCTTAGGTCGCAGCACGAGTATCCCCTACGTAGTAATAATAATAAAATGTAAATATCGTCGTTTAAAGTACAAAACCGTGTGTCGTCGTTCTGAAAAACCGTGTAACTGACATTGGATTTGCTCACACAAGCTCTTGGCTAAATCCTTATCCATTCGTCCTGAAATATACTAGCCAGAAATGCGATTGCTTTACAAAAAAGAGAACTATTTTGAAAAATGAGTGTTTTTGCTCTCTAGAAAATAATTCATGCAACCTCACATCCACGACGATATGTGTAAAGAGACAAACATTTATGTAAGTCTGTACAGTTTGTTTTTATTGTGCCAGCTGGGTTTTAGTTTTACTACATTCTACATTTTTAATAAACTTGACATAAAAAAAAAACAAATTAAAAATTTTATTGTACCAGCTGGGTTTTAATTTTACTACATTCTACATTTTTAATAAACTTGACATAAAAAAAAAAAAACAAATTAAAAATTTTTGGTAGGTTTTGGTTGGTCTTGGTAGGAAAAAAATTGTCCGTGTCAATACTGCTTGCAACTTTTTGAGAGCCCATTAGTAATAGTATAACTAGATGAAATATCAACAGCCAGACTATTCTGACGGTCATATCAAATGAAAAATGTCAAAAACGTCATTTTCGTGCAAAATGATTGAAAAAAATGAAATATGTAGATGCACAAAAAATTTTCGAAAGTAATTCTGGCATTTGGATCTTGATTTTATTTAATTTAAAACTTTACAAAAACAATTTCAGTACCTCATTTGTGGAAATATATATAGTTGTACTCACCTGAGATTTGTTTATAGTAAATGTGATATCCATCGATTGGGCTATTACCAGCGAACGGCTGACTCCAGGTAAGCTGAAGGCTGCGCGACTGTTGTGAATTAATTCGAAGGTTTTTTGGTTGCTCTGGAACTTCCTGTACAATCAATTGAATCGACATCTCATCCTGCCGATAGAAAAATATATTGAGTAGTAATTGTAAATTATACAAAGATTGTGTGCAGTTTGCTTAGCTATGTATGTGTGTATATAAATACACATATATGTATGTATATTGAAGTGAAAATAGATCTGGTTTATTTTATTTTAATATCGACTATATGTATACTGCGAACCATAACGGAACGGTGCAATTCTCGCAATTATCGAAATGGCTTAGCGGATAATTTTACTGCCCTGCAAAAATCGCGACTACTCCATGCATGCATGTAGAGAGTACTCCCTAAGCGCCATGGAGTACCCAAAATTAACCACAATTCATATAAAAAATATGGTCCAATTAACATTGCGATGTCCTAGGGCAGGACCATATACTCCATCTCTGCATTACATCAGAGTACCACAAAACTACTCCAACATATTAACAATGACATTGGGCGCGTTTCTAAGACGTAGCTGTTGTTAAACTGTTGAGTGTTTGTCTTCGAAAAGCACAGTTGAGTTGTTCCGCTCAGCTCAACAGTTGGCAACTTTCCGCCATTTTTTCAAGCGGAAAATTTTTACGCTTCCTGAACTCAACGTGTTGGGCTTAGCCTAAACCGCTGATCGTAAAGACTTACGTCGCTTGTATTAAATTTAACGCCGCTTTGTTAGGTGGCAGTTGCAAACAAATTTATTATATTTTATATTACTGATGTTATGAAGTAATTAAAATATTTTATACTTATACCACGTTTCTAAATATATGTTTTTAAGATGTTTGCTATATAATTATACACTGTTTAATTCATTATAACATTGAACGATTTTTTCAACACGGCGGCAGCTCAGCGTTGAATTCTAAATACTATCGGCGCAACTATCTGTATTTATTGCAATTTCATTTCTTTACATTTATCAGCAGTTCATTTGGCAGCATATTCATCATGCCGTTGCTAAGACGTAATTGTTGGGTCCAACAGTAGCCAACAGTTCGTAACAGTTGAGCTAAACAGCTACGTCTTATAAACGCGCCCATTGTTGTTATATTTTTTTGTTTGTACACGGTTTTGTTCTTCACTTCTCAGATGCTTTTTCGAAATTAATAAAAACCAAAAACAAAAATTAAAAATTACATGTTACCTCTAACGGCATTCGAACCCGAATATGCTAGGAGCTAACAAATAACAGCGAGCGTCTCTACACGTTCATCTACAGCCAAACATGCAAATGTGCTTTCAAATAACCCACTTCAATCACATTTCGTTAAAACACGAGCAGTGATCGGGTAACAAACAATAAGCTGGCGCAGAGACGAGTTGGTCCGCTACAGCATGACAGAGGAACACTTTTGTAAGTACTCCAATATACCACAAATAGACTACATGGTTCGACGATTTTTGCAGGGTAAGAGCAACAGATGAAACAAAAATTTGATGTTTAATGATATGTATTTTGTACGGTTTAATAGAAATTTTTGGGACGGTTTCAATATAAATACAGTTACGTACATACATGGACTTTTAGTTTCCTCGATGATCTTTAGCAGATTACTCTGATTAATACCTTTTAAGAACATTTTACCGCACTTATTGTCATTTTTAATTAGTTTTTTTTTGTTTAAATGGGGTTCTAATGTACAACTTACGCAATGAGGCTGATTAGGTATTACAATTTTTAAGATAGTATAACTCACTAGAAAATAATTTAAGAATTATATTGACTACCAATTAATGCTAGAAGTCCAAAAGCCACATTATATGTGACCTGGTCTACGAAAAGGGAGCTTACGTGCGAAAACTAGTTTTCTGTGAAAAAGCTGTTAAAAGTAAGCAACTCGTTTCGTCAGATTCTCATTATCTCGTTAATTGTTCTCCGCGCCGGACGTCCAGTAAGTGTTGTTGTTGATCGGAATATTATTATAGTACCATCGTGTAAGTTGCTAGTGTGGAACATTTAAAAAAGTAACACTGAAGAAGTGAGATTTACTGTATCTTTCTCTACATTTTTAGTACACTTCTAAGCAAGCTAGGATTTTCTGCGTTTCACCACGTGAAAAAGCACCTCATCTTCCATCCGAATCAACCAAAAAGTGAAAATTGATTTTTTGACACCTAAGCCCGCTTTCCGTAGACCAGGTCACATATACTGTATTATACATATGTCGGTTTCCCTACACGGTCAAAAGTTTGGGTTTAATTTTTAAACCGCGCTGGGACTACTGCCTTTTCTAAGCTTTCATAGTCTACTTTTTAAACCAGTCAATAGTTTTAGCAATTTTTAATATATTCTGGTTTAAATTTTAGTCCAAAAAGCTCGGTGTTTAAAATTAAACCAAAATGTTTTAATTCTAGTTTCTGGGTTTCATATATGGAAAATTTGGTTTAAAATCTAAACCGAAATAGAAAATGTTTGCACACAGCGAAATTCGGTATTGATTCAAATACAACATTTGAAAGCACATTTAAATATGTGGCTGTAGCTGAGTGTGCAAAGATGCTTGGTACAATTGGTTGCTACCAAGGCTGTCCGGGTTCAACCCCAACCAGATGCAGCGTGAAATTTAAGAATTTTTTATTCTTAATTAAAAATAAAAATGTTTGGTTTTAAAATTTAAACCGAACTGTTTAAATTCCAAACCCAACATATGTGCCCTCTTTTTTTTAAACTTAGAAGGTTTGTATTTGAAACTGAAATTATAGTGGGGGAGGCGAGCGACAAGTAATTGCAAGCGTTTTACATATAAAAGCTGAATTTTTGATATTATGTAAGCTGACCAACCGTCCTCCTTTGCGGAGGATTGTCCTCCTCAAACGTTATTTGGCCTCCTCAAAAATATTGTCATTCTCTGTCCTCCTTTTGAGCAAAAATGTCCTCCTTGTCCTCCTTTTCAAGTTTTATAGCCGAGATGAAATTTAAAAAAAAATTCGTTAAGAATATTATTATTTCCTAATTGTAAAGTCATTGGCCGGTAGTCGTAGAGAAGTTAGAAAAAGGTTTTAATGATTTAAATTGTGTTTTATAGTAATTTTAACTCTTTCATAAATAACTTAAAATGCATTTTATGGCAAAAACAGAGTTTTAACTTTAAAATGAGGAAAACGTAATTTTTAAATGGTAAAATAAGGTTCTAAGTTTTATTTTGCTTTTGAAGTAGTAAACGCAGTATCGCCCAGGTTCTGCCCCCACTCCAAACAATTTTTTTTAATTTTACTAATATTTTTTAATATAAACATTCTTTTATTTCATTTTATTAAACTTTACTTTATTATTTTTTAATGGTATTTCACATAGTCATCAAATTTTTTGTTTTCGGAATTTAATTTTGGCCACTTCGTGTCTCAAAACTTATCCGGCTCGAAGGACCAAAATGTAAAACACCGGGCATCGCAAGGCTCGCGAATGGACGCCCCCTAGTTTTATGATATGAAGAAAAAATGGAAAAAAGTGAAAAAATTAATTTAGTATTTTGCAACGTTTATTTTAATCAACTATTTTCGACAGTGATATACATATATCTATGTGTGCATATACAAATGCGTTTTTGATTACCTTTAGAAAGTGGCCTAGTAGCTGCGTTGTATCCTCGTTGATCTCCAAACAGAAGTGAAAAATATAATTTGCGGTTTCTAAGTTTCGACCGCCGGACAATCAGGGCTGTTCTGAAATCCGATCGAAATTGATTTCGCATCGATTTGGATTTCCGACTAGGAATCAAAAAGGTGTTCGGCAATCCTATCGAAATTGAGAAATTCGAACAAAAAGCAAATCCTATTCGAACTGTCAAAATTGAAATGTTTAGTTGCTGCGTCCATTGTTTACATTTATATTTCATTGTAATTATTTCATTTGTGAAAGAGTAGACTGTTTGTTATTGAAAACTTTGACAAAAAGTTGAAGAAAATGAGTTTTTGGTTTGTGGCTGCGATTGCCATTGAAATTAGAGAACAAAATAACATGGAAAAGTTAAAGAGGAGAATTTTGCGTGACCACAGCAATCCGCTAAGTCTCTCAGATGCATTGTGAGCTTACTCAATGAAAATTTATAAATTACTAATAATTTGATTTAATCTTTATATAGATTTGTTGCTCAATACCGTCTAAATAAGGATGCGTTCTCCATGGTATTAAGTGAAGTGGAACCACACTTAAAAAATATGTCCATTCCACCTATTATTCAATTGGCTGCCACACTGAGGTTCTTTGGTGAAGGAGGTTACCAGAGGTCAGTAGGAACAGATGCAAATATCCAATTAGGTCGTAGCACTGTTTCCAAAGTTATTGGCAATGTGCTTACCGTCCTCGAATGGAAACTCTGCCAAAAGTGGATCAAGCTAAATGTGTCAGAAAGTGAGCGACGCCAATGTAAATAATTTTTTTTTAACAAATGGGGGATACCTGGTGTAATCGGGTGCATTGATGGCACCCACATCGAATTAATAAAGCCACTAACGGATGCCCCCTCGTATTACAATAGGAAGGGTTATTTCAGCATAAATGCTATGATTGTGAGTATATATGTACATGAACATATCGTTATTTTGTTTACGAGTCTCTCTATTTAAATAATAAATTGCAGATATGTGATCACAACATGACAATTCAAGCTGTTGATGCAACGCATCCCGGCTCCAGCCACGATTCTTTTATCTGGAAGCTCAGCAATGCATATTCTCATTTTGTGGCAAAATATCGGGGTGGCGAGCGTTGTTTTCATTTGTTGGGCGATAGTGGTTATGGCATTGAACCATTTTTGATAACTCCATTTAGGAATCCAATTGTCAATACAATAGAGCATAACTTTAATGTAGTACACGCTTCTGCGCGTAATATTGTTGAACGAACTATTGGCGTCTTAAAATCTCAATTTCGTTGTTTAATTAGTTGCTTGCACTACAGTCCACAAAAAGTTGTTAAAATTATTAATGTCTGTTGCGCACTTCACAATGTGTGTAGACACTACAACGTTAACGTCGATGAAGAAAATATTACTGAAAATATTAATTTCCAAAATATGAACAACGAAAATAATATCGATGATGAAAGAGTATCATCGTTATATAACGAAGGAGTTCGTGTCAGAAATGAAATAGCAAACAATCTTACAGTTTGAAGTTCAGATAAATTTATTCATTTTTCAATGTCTTTTATATTTTTTTCGCATATACAGACACACAGTTAGTGGCAGTGAAAATCGCGCAGTAAGTTTCTTCAATTTTTTTATATAATAAATTTGTTTATGAAATAATACTTCACATACATATGTAACGGAAAGTTTCAAACCTTGTAACAAATTAACAGAGTTTAGTAAAATTTTCATAAAAGTTTCGAATTGTTTAATCTTTTTTTTTAGCAAAATGTTTGGCATGTAGTCTTAAAGACGATTTTATTACAGTTTATAGTTGGAAGAAAATGCGTAACACCGTTACTTAAAACTCCATAAACTATAATTAAATGGGCTATAGGACTACATGTCAAACATTTCTCTAAAAATACTGAGTTTTATATTTGATGAAAATTTAACTAATTAAATCTAACTAATTTGTTACAAAGCTTCAAACTTTCAGTTATATGGTTTTTTTTGAAGTGTGAAGTGTTATTTCGTAATTAAATTTATTTAATTTAAATGAAATAAATGTAAAAAGAATAAAAGAAATTTACTGGACCATTTTTATTGACTCATTTCATCTTAAAATATACTTTAAAGAAAACTTGTACTAAAAACTAATACATAAAAATAATTTAAAAAAATAAATCAAAACAAAACAAATTCATACATAAATAAAGAAATTCGTATTTACAAAGAAATGTTGCTATTTTTTATGTAGTATTCTTTCTATATTTTCATGGTGATTTTTAAAGTCTTCTCTGATGCCATCCAACGTTTCGTTCGTTTTTTCCATTGCGTCACAGAAACGTTGCATGGCTGCGAGGTTCTCTTCTCGGTTTTCCATCAACGAATCCAGAACGCCTTCAACCTTTCTGTTGAAATTTTTTTGTAACTCCAGGGATTCCTTGAGACAGTCCTTGAAAATGAACACAATGTTATGCTGGATAACAGAATATCTTAACAAACTATTACCAGTAAGGAAGTTTCTTTTTTTCTTTTTGGAGTCGATGCCTGAATATCGTGTCGTGCCCGTTTTTGGCCTGTGGAAGTTGAGGGCATCACTTCTTCCTCAGTTAAATCTAGTACCTCCACCTCGAAGTCCACTGTTTCATCCAGCCCAAAGGATGTAGTCTCGGAAATACCCTGCACTACCGTGTACATTCCCGTAATACGCGCAAGAGTTTCCTCAGCTTCAGTCAGAGAATACTTATTGAAAATTCCGCCACCAGTCTCGGTAGATTCCCTGCGGTTATGTGCAAGTTTCTTACGCACCTCACACTTCCAATCAGTGAAAGTCTATTTTGAACACAATTTAAAATTTAAATTTTCTTCTTTAAATTTATCAACATTGTATTTGTATTTATTTATTAATTCTACCTTTTTCCAACCATTGACATCCTTATATGGGCCCTGACTATTTAAAGTGTTAGCCAGCTCTTGCCATTGCTGCTCGACTTTCACCCGATCACCTTTGGCGTGGCCTTTGGCTATGTCCGGATTCCGTTCCATAAATTCTAGCAACGTCACGCTTTGAGCTGCATTCTTGTGTTTACCCCTTTATTAAAAAATACCGATTAATGTATGAAAGGCTTAAAAAAAACTTTTTACTTACATTTCTTAGGTTTTTTTGCTTTATAAAAATAAAAACCTGTAAAAACGAACTAATTCCGCCAACTAATACCGCGTCGGTTTTATTCTAACGGAATTCTCCGATAAATCGAAATACAGAACACCAAATTCGTTGAATAATCGGATTCGAACATAGATTCCGATAAATCAAATTCGATAGGATTACAGAACACGACTATGCAATTACGATCGGATTCAATTCCGATTCCGATAGAAATCGGATTTCAGAACAGCCCTGAATAACTGACGTTAAGGGGAAACTTAAAGCTCAAACAGTCAACGACGTAACGTAGACGTAGGTTGACGCAGACACGATCTACCTTATGGGATTCGCGTGTTAACGAAAACTCACCACCGCATGGCGGTGACGTTGCCGTTGCTTCTCTCTCTCTCTCTATCAACAGCAAATTTTATATGCTGCTACGTACGTTTACGCTACGTCGTTGACTAACTGCGCTTTTAACGAAGGTTCATTGTCCGGCGGGATACATTAGTTAAGGCTTAGCTGTTGTTAATATATACGAGCATGTATGAGTGTATATACATGTACATATGTACATATGCCAGCATTAGGGCGGTTCACTCAAGTGGGGAAAACTATTTAGGCTGAAGGCCTAAACATTTAAAAATTACAACTATAATTACATAAACAAAATTTAAATAATAATTTTTAAAAGAACAAAAAAGACGTAAAAAAATGTTTCCTGCCAGTGGGATTCGAACCCGTGACTTCCCGGCTTGTTAAAGCCGCAATTCTTCTGCGGACACAGGGTGAACTAATTGAAGCACTCATATTTCTTTATATTGCCGAGTAAATTGTTTCTCTTCATATGGATAACTCTGTTCTCTCTCATCTTAACAAAGAGATGCTTCAAAGATTGACACAACTTAAAAATCTATTCTAAACTTACAATTTTATTTTAACAAGAAGAAGAAGTGTAAACCCCTTTTAGCCTTAATGAATAACATTTAATACGGCTTTCCCACGGCACCCCAATAACGTAGATCGTTCTCTCATTCATAATTCGCACTCCAATTTCCCTTCGAATTACGTAATTCGCGGTACTAAATTTTGAGAATGTTTCCCGGAAATTTCGCCACTTATTATTTTTACTGCAAACGATTAATTATTGTATATATATATATTAGGGTGATCCAAAATAACTAACCTAATGAATTTATGGCCTTAAAATAACATAGTTACTGAGAAGGAAATTCTCCCATTTGTGACAATTTTTATTTCAATTTTAAGAGGTTCGAAATTTTTTATGTAAATAACATGTAAAAAAATTTGTTTTCGTTGAAAATGTTATAACTCTTGAACCGTTAAATACCGTTATAAAAACGTTTTTTCTAGGCGTATTCTTTTAGACCATTAAATTCTCTAAAAAATTACCCTGAAGTTGGTTGTCTTACAGACGATTAAGAGTATTAAATATGTTAATGATATTTCTGAGCGAGATATAGCGTTGATACAAAATTATAATCGAACTTTGACGAAAGACGAAGAACAAAAGAAATTTATTTTGGAAGTAATACCTACTATAACAATTTAATAATTTAAAAAGAAATAGTCAAAACTTGTTAATATGTGACGGTCTTATGATTATGCAAGGCAGTGTACTATTAACTTGTTTGACTTGTGTTTAGAGAAACTTTGAATTGTTAATTTATTTGTTATTTATGTGTTAAAATAAATATAAGAAATTTTTTGTCTTTCAATGTGGAGTATTTGCCCTCCTGGAATGTTAAAGAATTCTGGTCACCTTATATTATATCACGTTTGTGGTGTAGAGAAATAGCCTGCCGTCAGTCAATCCAATTCGCTAGCATTTGGCCCAGGGCGGTTTAATTTTGTATAGAGACTCTTAATCTTGCAACTAATTTATAAAATCTAAAATACTACTTAATTGCGAGTATTATACTGACTAAAAAGTACTAAGACATTGGTGAGTCATTAAAAGTCTGCAACCGAGCCAGTCAGTCGCGCGTTAAAGTTGTACAAAATCTCTGCATCGTGAAAGCATTTTATAAAATCTGAAATTCAGTTCACATTTGAAGAATATTATTGTAATTACAAAACGAATAGTCAGTTACAACGTTTATTCGCAGTAATAAGTCGCTTTAATTAAATTCGCCATGACGCAGAACATACATATGTATATACCATAGATAGAAAAAACGCTACTCGCGAGTAGCGTCTGCGTCGCAGCGCTTATACGTATCCAGAAGCGACGCAGCGAATTTCAATTCAGTCTAGGGATGAAACGATACCATGCAGGAATCGATACATTTACTTGAAAGTAGTATCGAAATAAAGTATCGATACCTACTCATATCGATACTTTTGGCTATGAAAGTGTTCCTTACGAACTAGATAAATAAAATTTTGTTTTTTATGTCAGTTAATGATTATCAAGGAATCCTAAACTTCAAACAATATGTTAATTTCCTTTCCTCATCATGTCGGTCTCCTTGTCGGTGGGGGTGGGGCTTAAGTGACGCTATGTCCGTTATACCGGTGTGCTGGGCACAGCAATATGAATCAAGAGAGGTACTGGGTATAGGACTGGAGACTGAGGTTGCTCTCCCGTAGTTCGTGTGGCGACCGTGGGCTGCAGCTCTCATGCGCAGACGCCCGCGTCCCACCCCAACCGATTCCCACAATGCATAAAAATGAGAATATAAACAAAAACACAAACACAAAATTTTAAGGGAGGAGAGATGTCTCGGAAGACATCCTGAGCGCAGAGGAGAACGTGCTCGTGGCTCCCAGTCAGGACTCTGCACGCTCTTCGATAATAATACCGGTGAGCGCTAAGCCTAGCGATCCTGACAATACCCCATCTTCCTCAAAGGCAACGTTGAGTGCTCCATAATGCACTCCAAAGAGAAATTCTTGACACGATGGCAGTGGCCGGTACTGTACACCCCAAGGATGAGGAAGACAGTCCAAGGTGCAATGAGGTGGTGGAGGTGTACAGGAGGTACCTTACTTCGAAACCAAAAAGAACCCTGTAGCAGTTAAACGAAGTAGACATAAGGAGGAGTCTACAACCGAACCAGATGGAAAAAGAGCGGACACGAAAAGCACGCCCCAGCAATAAGAAACGTTGGTGAAAGGACGGTACTGTGAAGTGGCCAGGGATCACCATCAGGTCGCGCTTGTCGACGAAGCCTCAGGAAGCGGTAAGCCCGTTTCGGAGAGGTGGGTCGAGATCGAGTTAAAACTCTCTGAAGGGATGGGTGACTACCTGTTTGAAAATCCGGACAACCCTATTCCAGGATTTGACTCCAGTGAGTCCCTGAGCTGTTGTCGGATTTTCAATCGTAGAGATGAGTTCTCTAGGGAATTCCTCGGCGAGTGCGTAGCCGAGCCCGGCAACGCCTGGGAGGGTTTGAAGTTCAAACTAAGCCCTGCCGAGGAGGTACCTGGGAATCCCAGGGCCCGCATTTGGCTGCCGAAGATGGCTATGGACATCGACAAGCTGATCCGTTTCCTGCAGCGGCATAATCCGGAGATATCCATGGGTGAGTGGGTAGTCATTCGTGCACAAAAGCGTCTAGAGGGCGCGCAGAGTTCTTCGTACCTTCTGAGGCTTAACGAAGAAAGTATTGAGCCATTACAAAAAATGGACAACAAGCTGATCTTCGGGGTGAGAACAGCTAAACTAAAAATATTCCGCTCGAATTAGCCGATTCCAGAGGCTGATATCGAGGCTGCCAAGCAAATGTTGGGCGATATGAACGTCAAAGTTACCGGGGACCGAGAGGTCGCTGAAGGTGTCAACCAGGTGCTGGCAGGCACAGGTCCAGTTGACAATGCCGAGAAAGTCGATGAAGGTGGTCCAGGCAATTCTTAGGCACTCTAAGGCCACCTCGGACAAGCTCTTTTTCTTCCTAAGGGAGGAAGATATCAACATCTCGCTGATACAGGAAACTTGGATAAGGGACCTAGAGGTTAAGGGACTCACCGACGCCCGCTATAACCTCTTCTACACTAGTATATCAGGTAAACCAGGTAAAACATATTAAAGATTTCGTATATTCCAATTCCGGATTACCGGATACTACTGTCGTCAACTTGGAGTAGATGAATGAACGCAGCTGTCTAATATCATCTGTATGCAATGTGCATGACAGGCCGTGTCCGCCACAGAAGGTCGTCACTTTACCAAGGTTAGCAGGAGCTAGTCCAGTGTTACTCGGCTGCGATGCCAATTCCCGACATACATTATGGGGCAGCTCGGAAACCAACGATAGAGGTGAGGCACTATTTCAATTTATTATTAATTCTACGTTAAGGATTTGTAATAGAGGTACTACTCCCACCTTCATATTTCCTAGTACGCCTGATTTTTGCGGTTGGGAAAAAGTCCTAGACCTAACTCTGCTAACGGAGTGGAGGCTAAAGGTCAATAAGTGTAGAGTATCCGAAAAAGAGGTCCTCTCGGGCCACCGTCTTATACTCTTTGACCTACTCCCTTTAGTAGACCTCCTAAAACAAATTGGGACTTCTTTCAAAAAGTTATTGAAAAAGAATTGAAGAAACTACCAGTTGAAGACATTCCTACAAGGGGCGAGCTGGACGCCAAAGCGGACAGCCGGAATAAGGCCTTCGGAAAGGCCCTTACGAAGGCTTGTCCTCTGAGGTATGGCAAGAAAGCGCGCACACCTTGGTGGAATAAGAACCCTACTGCGCTACGGAATAAAGTAAGAAAATCCTTTAATGAATGCTACAGGAATAAAGTATGGGACCTTTACAGAGAGAACCTAAAGAAATACAAAAAAGCGATACGGGACGCCAAGGAGGGACGTCCTGGAGGGAATTTTGCGAATCAATCGAGGATACCAAGGAATCTGCGAGATTAAGCAAAATCCTTGCCAAAGGGCACTCACAGCCAACATATATAAAAAGGTCAGATGGTTCATAGACCGTGT